AAGTCACACGGTGGTAGGATTAAACCCAGAGCTCTAGCTCCACTCCAGTGCTTTTCCCACCCTCTCTCAGAGCTGCCCAGTCTAAAAATGCTGCTTCTGCCTGGCCGGCGTGGCTCAGTGGTTGAGCATCGACCTATGAACCAGGAGGTTACCGTTTGGTTCCCGGTCAGGGCACATGCCTGGGTTGTGGGCTCGATATTCAATGTGGGGTGTGCAGGAGGCAGCCGATCAATGATTCTTTCTCATCATTGATGTTTCTCTCCCTCTCCCTTCCTCTCTGAAATCAATAAAAATATATTTTAAAAAAATTTTAATATAAAAATGCTGCTTCCGCTTAAAGGGGGTGCAGGTCGGACAGACCTGTGAGGCGACTTTGAGCGAATCCCAAGCCAGACTGTTGCTGCAAAGCCGTCAGAATCGTTGACTTTTTTTCTGGGGTGCAGGTGCGTGTGTTTGTGTGTGTGTGTGTGTGTGTGTGCACACGCGCGCACGCCGTACATCTGGAAGGTACTGGAAGGAATGGCCTGTCAATTGAAAGTCCTCATTCCCTGATACTGGGCAGGTAAATGGGCTGCTTTCGAGAAAAGCCTGAGGCACAGGCAGACATCTGGAAGGCGTCCCACAGGTCAGCTGAGAGAAGCAGGAGGAGGGGGCCGTGGTGGGTGCTGAGGGTGCAGAGCAGCGCAGGTGGGAGGGTTTCCCGTGGTTTGCAAGGGCTGTCCTGTCGGTATAGCCATGCGCCTGCGGAGAGGGTGCAGCCCGGCGTGTGGACCGAGCCGTGTGCAGGGTCCTGGCGTGATCACAGGAGGTCTGTCTCCTGTGTCCCTGGGTAGGAACCTGTGCTGCTGCTCGACCAGGTGGCTCTTCGATCCTCTTTAAGCAGCTCCTGGTGGGCAGGTTCACGCTCGGGGAAGGAGGCTTGGTCGTGGCACCGCGGTTCCTGAAATGCGGCCTCAGCGTCACCCGAGAACTTGTCAGAAATGCACAGAGGGTGCCCAGACACCCTACCCACCCCCACCCCCCCAGAGGTTGTGCTGCAGAGTGGAGGCTGCAGACCTGGGCCTGCCGGTCTTCAGAGCCGGGGCTCAGAACGTGGCTTACCCAGGGGTGTGAAAAGCGGGAGAACCTTGCCCGGCCCGTGTGGCTCAGTGGGTTGGGTGTCATCCTGTGCACCAAGCGATCACCAGTTTCATTCCCGGTCAGGGCACGTGCCCGGGGTGCAGCCTTGATCCCCAGTAGGGAGTGTGCAGGAGGCAGCCCATCGATGTTTCCCTCTCATCAGTGTTTCCATCTCTCTCTCTCTCCCTCTCCCTTTCTGTTTTTCTAAAATCAATAAAAACCTATTTTTTAAAAACTTGAGAACCTTCTGCACAAGCAGCGACGTGTTCTTCGGTGAGACGAGGTAGCCAGAGCTTCTCGCCGAGAACCGAAAGCCAGGCGGCGCCAGGCGGGAGCCCGAGCCCGGAGAGCGGCCGGCTGTTCCCCTGTGCTCTCGGGACTCGCTCCCGCCTGCTGCGGGCAGCCTTGTTCCCGCGATGCGTGGAATCCCTCAAGCGGAGTCACGTGGGCTTTGTTTGAACGTCATGGGCGAGAAGTGGGCCAGATCTCTCGGCCCCTAGGTTATTATTTGTTTTCTCTCTCTGACCCCCAACATGTTGGTTGAAACCCCCCTCCCCCCCCCCATTCAGGCTGTGGGAGTTACTTGTCGGCCAACAAATGCGGGCAGGGCTATCGTCACTGATGATCAAGGCGCCCCTCCCAGGCCTGGTACACATAGGTGCCCAGCAAATATCTGTGCGCGAATAAATGAGTGTTCACATGTGCTTTTCTTACCCCAATGTAATCAGAAAAAGTTTGTCTTCTAAGAAATTGTATTTCCTTTATCCTGTAATCACACACACACATGTGCAGCGAAGGTGACATGCTGAATTTGCCCACTATTTTACAGTCACGTGTTAGTGGCCATAATGAAGCTGTCAGGCCAGACCAAGCGTAAAGTTGCTGCATTTGACTTGCCAGGAAGGGAGATGTGAAGACCGCGATTGTGTGTGTGTGTGAGCCTTGCACGGGGGCAGCTGTGCCCGCCGTCTTCGCCCCTGCCCTGCCTCAGGAGAGGGCGTGGGACCACAGACTCGGCCTCTCGCCGGCGCCCTGGATGCGGCTCCGTTGTTTCCATGCGAGATGGCTCTGACATGACTCATCTCCCCTCCCCACCCCCTTTGGAGCCGAGAGGCCCCGAGACGCCTTAATGCACGATGTAACTTGGTTAAGAGGCAGGTAATAGCTCGAGTGTCTTCATGAAGTGCTTCTCAGAGCAGCTTAATCGCGTCCGAGAGCTCCCTGCAGAGCGAGCTGGGGGGATGGCCGGAAACACCAGCCCCAGAGCAGAAGCCAGGGACGTCGGTCTGTCTGTCCGTGGCAGACACCGAGTCACCGCGTCGGAGTCGGGGCGACTGTCGGACGCTTTGACGGGCGATGCCGTGGGCAGGGCCTGGCCCCATGGTGTCAGGGAGGCTTTGTCTGTCTCTGCAGAGCCCACACCCGGCGGGGGAAGGGGCGGCGATGACAGGCCAGCGCACGGCAGCGGAGCCAGAACAAAGCCACTCGAATGGACAGGGAGGTGGCCGCAGGGCTCCCTCTGGGCTGACCACAGCTGGGCAGCCCTCCATGCCTTCTGCTCCTTCCCTGACAGGGTTCATCTTGGCCACCAGCTCCAAACATATGCACTTGTGCTCACAACACTCATGTAATAGACGCAGCGTCCGTGGGCTGCCAGAGAGACAGTCGGAGGGCGACAGAGGCCTGACCACGTCACTGGGGCGCGGAGCTTCCGCACGTAGGTGCAGAGAGGGGTGGCTGTCTGGCCGGCACCATCAGGAGTAAGGGAAAGTCCATAAAGACACCACGAAAGCCCTGACTGGTTTGGCTCAATGGATAGAGCGTCGGCCTGCGGATTGAAGGGTCCCAGGTTCGATTCCGGTCAAGGGCATGTACCTTGGTTGCAGGCACATTCCCAATAGGGGGTGTGCAGGAGGCAGCTGATCGATGTTTCTCTCTCATCGATGTTTCTAACTCTCTGTTCCTCTCCCTTCCTCTCTGTAAAAAATCAATAAAATATATTTAAAAAAAAAAAAGACACCACGAAGGATACTGCCACACCACCAGGAATCAGGCTCTAACCGGAAGATGAAACTCTTCGTCTTCAGCCAGCTCCACATGCGGGAGCCCTGATGCTGCAAAACTTCCGTTTCCTAACGGGGGAGGGCGTTGGCACGAGGAAGGATTCCGGCGCCACCTCTGGGGTCGTCCCGCGTTTGCCGTTGCTGGTCCCGCGTGACGTGGGCCGTGTACAGTCCACCCCATGGGCTGCTTCCCACGGGTGACAGCCACGGAGACGCCAGGCGGCAGGCTCTCACGTCTGTCATCCGTCTGCTGTGCGTACCTGCCTTTCTCGCTGAAAGAGGAGGAGCCTTTCTCTCGGTGTTGCTCCTGGAAGTAGCTCATTGGGAACCGCATCAGTTCTTGAAAAGTAGTTTTCCTCCTGCTCTTGCGGTTGAGTGAAGTGAAATGCATTCGACACCCAGCACTGGAAGTTTTCCTGGGAAACGGGATATGCTGTGTTTTCACTGTGAGAAAATGTTCCGCTCCCTAGGCCAGTGGTCGGTAAACTGCGGCTCTCGAGCCACATGTGGCTCTTTGGCCCCTTGAGTGTGGCCACGAAGTTTCAATTGCACTGTACGTGCACGCCCACACGTGATATTTTGTGGAAGAGCCACACTCAAGGGGCCGCAGTTTGCCGACCGCTGCCCTAGGCTCAGACTCTTTGATCCGTGTGCCTCTTCTCTTCCCGTAACTTTCCTTCCTGCGGTTCCCACACAGCGGTGAAGCCCCGGTCCTCGAGCCAGATAGATGGTTATCTCCGCAGCCTCAGTTTCCGCATCTGAGAAATAGGATAACAGCCGTCCCGACCTCACCTGACCGTTGTTCATATCTGTAAAGCGGTGACTGGCACGGAGGAAGCATCCGGTCCATTGTTTTATCGCCAGTAGAACCAATAAGCCTTAATCACCTGTGTCAGGATTTACAGTCAGGACAGCAAGGAATGCCGAGAAAGTGTTTCTTTTCCGGGTCATTCCTTTTCATGAGTCGGACGGCTGTATTTGGAAAATCGTTCTGCCGTGAGCCACAGGAGGGGGAATATGTGTCACAGCTGTTGTCGGTGTTCAAGGACATTTAGGTCGTGTGTCTGAAGATGCTGATGGCTGGCACGCGCACGTACAGTGCATCTGGGACTTAACCATGTTCTGAACCTGCACGAATATTAACTCGTTAAATTCTCACAACATTTTCCCCCACCCTGACCCCTGTGGCTCATTGTTGGAGCATCACCAGTGCACCAAAGGGTCGAGGGTTCGATTCCCAGCCAGGGACATGTGCCTAGGTTGGGGCGTGAGCGGGAGGCAGCTGGTCGATGTGTCTCTCTCGCATCAATGTTTCTCTCTCTGTGTGTGTCTCTCTCTTACTCCTCCTTCCCTTCTATCTGAAAAGCAATGGAAAAAAATATCTTCTGGTGAGGATTAACAAAAAAAAATTTTTTTAAATCATTTTCCCCAATGTTTGGGTAAAACAGGTGATGCCTCAAAAATGCGTGTCTGTACCCTTCCCCACTGATTTAAATGAAGTTGTACTCGTTCCATTTGTGCTCGGGGCCCCTCTCCCCGATCTCTTAACGGTTTCCACTGGGGAATGGGGTGCCAGGAACCCCAAAGCAGGACTTTGACATAAAAGGGTTCTTCTGTTCGAGCGGCTGAGAACGTGGGGCCACAGAGATGCCCCATCTTGTGTGCGGCGTCAGACTCGCTGCCACGGGACGAACCCAGGCTGGGCGAGCCTCCGTGGCTGGTTCAGGGAAGGAGGCTCCGGGCCTGCGGGCGTGGACAGGCCACGTGCGAGCTGCACTTCTTCCAGCACCAACCTCCCTCTTCCTCGTCCCGCCCTAGACAACCAGTTCAGGATGTCCATCCTGGAGCGGCTGGAGCAGATGGAGCGGAGGATGGCGGAGATGACGGGGTCCCAGCAGCACAAGCCGGGGAGCGCAGGAGGCGGCAGCGGCGGGGGCGCCAGCAGCGGGAACGGCGGAAGTCAAGCCCAGGTACCCCCTGTAGTGACGGTCGTCTTCGGTTTTGTGTGATTTGTTACTGATCGGGAGGCAGGCAGTGGCCACGGTCCCTGTGCTGGTGCTGGGTCATTCCTGGCTGAGGCCGAAGTCCGAGGGCTGCTTCCCGGCCCCGTGCTTCCTCCCTGGGCCTCGGACCCTGTCCCTGGTCTCTGGCCCCCCGCTGTCGCCTGCGGGGAGTGAGGCCTGCGGTGACTCAGGGCTGCGGGTGCAGACTTCAGTTAGAATCCAGTTTGTGTTTTGTAGTCTTGTCTCTGTCTTCGCTCCAAATGTACACTGGTGTTGAGTTCAATTGGTCATTCATTCATGAGCCCGTAGAAACTCAAGAAGACCAACGGGAAAAGGGCCCAGAGAAACCGTTTGAGTAATTTTTCAGTAAAAACAGCATTGCTCCTTCTTCTGCGCATGCCTGTTCATGGATTTCATGAAGGGCGCCCCCTCCTGCCCAGGACAGGGACAGCACCACATGCTGTTTCAGGGCCTGAGAGTCTCGAAGGCTTTATGTACATTTCGTTTAGGAGCTTCATTTCAGGAACCTCTCCGAGGGAGCAGTGATCTTTCAGGAGACCCCAGAATAAACGCAAAGGGACTGCGAGTTTCTTCCCTCTGCTACCGAGTCGTTGCCAAAACCTCACATAATTCCCCCTCTTCCTCTTCAAAAGGAATGATTTTCTTTGAACAATTACATGAAGTGAACACTGAGTTTTATGATCCTTGTGAATATCAAGGGTTGGTAATATTTGTAATAATAGATGAAAGCAAGGCATAATATACCACACCCCAAGAGCTAACCTCCTTTTTCCCCCTGAATTTTCCTCTCATTTCTCACCTACCCTCAGAAATCGGTGGAAAAGGATAGACCGGGCACACCGTAAAATATCACTCAGGCTGAGATAGGCTTCTTTTCACCGGTACCACAAAGGTTTATAAAAAAAGTAATCGTTGTTTACTGTGCTCACGGCTAAAGTAGGAGATTCCCTTGACATCACTTTCCTGTAGTCCACAAAGGTTGCATTCAGGGAATAGGATGTCATTTTACAGTTCGGCCGCTCAGCCACTGTCCTGGTATAACCTGACCCCCTGTTAGCTGCTGGTGATCACACGTTCACCGATTTAACTTGGCTTCAGTAAGTATCTGTGTCCACCTGACGTGCTGGAGACGTGGCTGTTTTTGTTGAATGCAAAAAAAATCCCTCTTGCCCTGGCCAGTGTGTTCAGTGGTTAGAGTATCAGCCCTCAGGCCAAAGGGCTGAGGGTTCAGTTCCCTGTCAAGGGCATGTACCTAGGTTGCAGGTTCACTCGCCGGGCCCGGTCTGGGCACGTGTGGAAGGCAACCAGTTGATGTGTCTCTTTCACATCGATGTCTCTCTTTCTCTGTCTCGCTCTCCCTCTCTTCTTCTCTCCCCCTCCTCCCTCCCTTCCACTCTCTCTAAAAAATCAATGGAAAGAATATCCTCAAGTGAAGATTTTTTTTTAAATCCCTCTTTGTTCACTCCCTGGTGAATCCCACGTGCTTGTGGTCATGCCCACTACATAGGAAGCAGCTCTGCCCGGACTCTGGGTCAAGGTCATTCTACTGCAGGTCAAGGTCGCCCAGCTGTGCTTTCAAAGATGCTCTTACAGCTCTAGTGAGATGACGTTATTGCCATCATCTGCCGTTTTATTCTCGCAGGCTTTTTCCCCCAGACTTAACGGAAAAACAATGAGGAGCAACAGCATTTCTGTAGCAGTTGAACTTCCTGGGGCTTATGGTGGCGGGTTCGAGCCGCAGGCTGAGCTGAGCACCCTCTCGTCTCTGCCTCACGGCCCATTCTCAGCCTGTGGTTCCCGCCTCGCATTGCCAATCACGGAGCTCTGGCTGCGGACCTGCCGCGGGGCCTCGGGGCCTCCGAGCCTCACGTGCGCTTTCCCTGTGCTCGCCCCGCAGTGCGCTCCGGGCCCGGGGACGCTGGGCAGCTGCTTCGAGAGCCGCGTGGTCGTCGTGTGCGAGAAGATGATGAGCCGGGCCTGCTGGGCGAAGTCCAAGCACTTGATCCACTCGAAGACGTTCCGCGGGATGACGCTCCTGCACCTGGCGGCCGCCCAGGGCTACGCCACCCTCATCCAGACCCTCATCAAGTGGCGGTGAGGCCGGGCGCCCCCTCCACATGCACTTACCCACCCCTCTTCCCCCTCCCAGCGGCTCACCAGGGGACAGAGGTCTGGCCACTCAGGGTGCGGTCTGGCCTGTGAGCCAGGACTTCTCTGGGGGCGGTTTCCAAGGGAGTTTTATGAGCTTCTGCCCAAGAAACACTCAGGGAGATGCCAGCTGAATGTTGGGCCTTTTCCTTCCTCTGGGGGCCTCGCCAAGTGGAGAGACTCCAAGCCGCCCTGTGAAGCTCAGAGTCTATTGCACGTCGGGGGTTAGAGGCTCCGTTCGGTTTCGCGCCTGTGGGGGTGTGCACGTGTCAGGGGTTTCCTGTCCACGTGGACTCACTGGGCGGTCGCTGCCGGCCCCTCCCTTTGCAGCACGAAGCACGCGGACAGCATCGATCTGGAGCTGGAAGTCGACCCCTTGAACGTGGACCACTTCTCCTGCACCCCCCTGGTAAGAGGACACTCACTGGTCCCCACGCCGCTTCTCCAGGCGGGCAGAGGGATGGGCACAGGCCGGGCCCCCGCGTGGTCCCTCATGGACACGTGACGTCTATCCGAGCTACTTGGCGACGATGATGTTTCGTGGCCCCGTGGAGGGAGCCAGCGAGGACCAGGCCGCAGCGGCCGGATGCAGTGTGTTTGGAACTCGCCGTTAAGAACGCCGCTCTGTCTCTGTCTTTCAGATGTGGGCGTGCGCCCTCGGGCACCTGGAGGCCGCGGTCGTGCTGTACAAGTGGGACCGGCGGGCCATCTCCATCCCCGACTCCCTGGGGAGGCTGCCTCTGGGGATCGCCAGGTCGCGGGGTCACGTGAAGTTAGCCGAGTGTCTCGAGCACCTGCAGAGAGGGGAGCAGGCTCCGCTGGGACAGAGCCCCCGAATCCACTGTCCCCCGAGCGAGGAGCCCCATGCAGACAGCTGGATGGCCCAGTGGCACAGCGAGGCCATCGCCTCTCCAGAAATCCCCAAAGGCGTCACCGTCATTGCAAGTACCAATCCGGGTAAGAACTCAGAGTTACCACATCTCAGACCTGCCGAGCCCCCAGGTGCTGTCCCTCAGGAGAGGCCTTAGGGTGCTCACTGATGGGTTTGGGGGGGTTTCTATCTCTGAGTTGCCTTTTAGCTGTAAGAATGCCTAGTGTGACTCCCCTAGCTCCCTACCCCCCAAATGCAGAAAGTAAAAAAAAAAACTATGTCTGTGCAAGAAAGAACTGCAAGTGATGGAGGAGGAGGATCTGAGTCCACTAGATGCTTCGGGGGGGTGTGTAAACATCAGGGACGTGTCTGAGGCCCGGCTTCGCCCTGGGTGTCTCCCGGGCCTAGAGGGCGCGTTAGCTCGTTAGGGCTCCTGATCTGATCGCCTGTCCTGACTGTCCTTTCTACTGTGCTTTTCAGAGCTGAGAAGACCTCGGTCTGAACCCTCTAATTACTACAGCAGTGAGAGCCACAAAGATTATCCAGCTCCCAAAAAGCATAAATTGAACCCCGAGTCCTTCCAGGCGAGGCAGGAGGAGCTGCTGTCCACTGCACTGAGCCTGGAGCAGCCCAGGATCAGGAAGCAGAGCCCTAGTTCTAAGCAGGCCGCCCCCGAGACTCTCAGCCCCAGGGAAGGCGCGAGGGCCTGCAGCCGGGCACCCTCCCCTCCCTCTCCGGAGCCGGCGGGACTCCGAGCCGCTGCGGCCCAGCCCCAGCCCGTAGTGAGGTGGAGTCCCAAAGATCTTTCCATTGGTGTGTCTACAGTGCAGGTGACGGGCAGTCCGAAGGGGACCAGTGTAGGAAAGGAGGCAGCACCTGCACAGGTGCGACCACGGGAGCCCATGAGTGTCCTGATGATGGCTAGCAGAGAGGTGGCGCACACAGAGATGGGGCCCTACCGGGACAGTGCGGAGGCCGAGGACGGCTCGCAGCCCATGGATGACATACAGGTGAGCGCGCACCAGGTGATAAGCCTGCGAGGCCGGGATCGCCAGGCTTCCTGGATCTTTGTGGTGTTGTTGTTAATCCTCACCCAAGGATATTTTTCCATTGAGTGGAAGGGAGGGGGAGAGACAGAGAGAGAGAAGCATCGATGTGAGAGAGACACATTGATTGGCTGCCTCCCACACGCACCCCGACCGTGGTGGGGATCGAGTCTGCAACCCAGGTACGTTCCCTTGAGTGGAATCGAACCCAGGACCCTTCCATCTGCGGGCCAAGGCTCTATCCACTGAGCCGTACCCGCCAGGGCAGGGCTTCCTGGATATTAACAGTCACCTTCGGGAGGTCCTGTGACTTACCAGCCAGGGCGAGACGTCTGGCCTCATGATGATGATGTTGGGGTTTCCTCTTCCCTTGGGCCACGTGTTCACTCCGGGGCTCAGCACCGTGAACGGGGCCTCACACTGGCGGCCAGGTCTCCGCAGAGCCCTCCCTCTCGGCACCAGCTCCTCAGACTACAGTCACCTTCCGGAGGTCCTGTGACTTCCTCACCAGCCAGGGCGAGACGTCTGGCCTCATGATGATGATGTTGGGGTTTCCTCTTCCCTTGGGCCACGCGTTCACTCCGGGGCTCAGCACCGTGAACGGGGCCTCACACTGGCGGCCAGGTCTCCGCAGAGCCCTCCCTCTCGGCACCAGCTCCTCAGACTCACCCAGGACCCTTCTCCCTGGCGTCCAGGATTCCACTGGTTCTGGATTAGCTCTGATCGAGTCACGGCCTGGCACAGCTAGAGCAGAGGCCTGCGGAGAGCATGTGACGGATGGGCGCCACCATCACCTCGCCATGAAGGGCAGGTGGCACCAGGCTCTGAGGACAAGCTCTGAAATATCCCTCGGGCTGCTGACCGACCGACCGATGGATCTGGAAAGTCCAGAATCCTCCTGGGCATTACACTTGCAGAGGTTAAGAGGCTCTGCCCTGAAGTGAACCTGAGGTGCGGCTGTTAAGCAAACGCAGTTCGTTCATCGAAATGCACTGCAGAGGAGAGGACCGAGCGAGCAACCTAAGGACACGTGCTTGGCTTTCTCCTTCCCAACCTCCCAGTGACTTCACCCAGAACAAGTGTAAAAGGGAAAGACCCCATGAGACACTTGTTAGGGCACCTGTGCCTGCAGCATCGCTGTGATGAGAGGGGGGCCCACAAGCCTGCAGCGCTCCCAGGGAGAGGAGCTCCCAGGAGAGGAGCTCCCAGGGAGAGGAGCTCCCGGGAGAGGAGCCATGAACGGCTCCTGGGGTCGCATCCTACCCGCCCTCTGTTTAGCACAGGTGAACCTCACACCTGTGCAGGGCCCTCCCATCCCTGTGGGTGGGTTGGGGGCTCCACTACGGATCTACCTGCCGGGGAATCAAGTCATAGCTTAGACCAGGGTTGGCAAGTTTTTTCTGTAAAGGCCAAATAGGAAATATTGCAGGCCTTGTGGGCCATCAGACTTGTCATGACGATTCCATCTGCCTCTAGCACAAAAGCAGCCTCGGGCAGTGTTGGACCAGTGGGTGTGGCTCTGTGCCAATAAAATTTTATTGACACCAGCAGGTAGCTGGTGGGTGGGCTGCCACAGTTTGCCAGGTCCTGGTGGAGCCCGTGTCAGACACCAATAGTAAGTCATCTAGGACAGTATTCACGATATTTAATAATAAATCACCAGACTGTGAAAATCAGTAGCTCAAAGGAGGGGAACTGAGGAGGATGAACAATAAAACAGTAAACCAATCCATCCGCGTGATTATCGATAGTGGGGTTGGGTGTGAGGCAGTTGTTAAGAGGGGGCTCGTACATGAAAAAGGAATAGTGTTTAAAAAATACCCGGAACTAAAATTCTAAATTAGTATCTTAGCAAAACCGGGGGGTAGGGAGGTGGAGGAGGGAACGTGTTCAAGCAGCGCCCCTGTCCGGCAGCCGGTGGGCTCGGCTCCGCTGCTGACGCCGACGGGTCCGTGTGGGCCGAGACGTGCTCGTCAGATGCCACGCTCGTGGGCAGCACAGAATCACTGTGTCGCTGCGGGAGAAAACACGTCTGCCCCGTCGGGGGAATTCAGGAATGGCAACGAAGGGACAGGCAACCACAGAAATGATAAGTGGAAAACATAACAGAGGAATATTTTCAAACATGATTCATTCCCACTTTGGTAACTGATGATTCTATAATTAAAAGGTGCTCAGATTGGGTTTTAAAAAAAAGCAAAATACACTCTATGCTGCTTGTACAAGACACAACTAGAATGAAATGAAACAAGAAAACAAGGTGATGGGAAAAGATACAACAGACAAATACATATAAAAAGAAAAAAAGGCAAACAGTACAATTCAGGGTAAATAGTATGCATATGTATATAAATATGTAATTTATATGGTGTCAGTGAAGTTCTATGAACCCCTGTGAACCTAACCACACAGCTTCTACATGTGAAGCAAAAGCTAGGAAACACAAAGAAATGCGGAACCACAGCCTTCATCGCAGTGTGAGACTAATGCCCTACCTCAGACTGAACAGTGCAGTTGGAGGCTTGGCTTCCGGTATGTGTTTATAGGTGACATATATTGATGCAGATGCAGGTAATTCGGACACAGAGCACATGTCTATCTACAGTTGTTCCTTTTAGGGACTCCAGGCACATCTCTGAATGTTGCTCATGTGCCAGGACACGAAGAGAATTTAAATAAAAACCCGAAGCTGCCCGTTTAAAGGCGATCTTTACCTTCTCTGACCACCAGCCGAGAAATTTAGAAATGAACGTCATGATTTTTTTCAGGTCCAACTGCTGAGCCTGTTACTTGGTTTAAAGTCATCTAAATGTCACTGCCTTTTTGCAGCGATAAGAAGTCAGCTGCGTGGTATTTGCAGTGTGCGCTGAGGGTCTCGAGCTGTTCTCACACTGCCACAGTTACGAAACGGAGGATTTGGGGGGGACAGTAGTGCCAGGCTCCAGGTTCCTGAGTCTCCAGAAATTCCACTTTGCTTTGAATAAAATATTTGAATACCTCCCTGGTAGAAAAAGAAAATCAAAGTAGGACCTACTTCCTCCTCAAATCAAGAGCCAATATCAAAGGGAAAGAAAAGCTGTGATATTTTCCCCCTAAATGTCTTCATTTTTATCCCTATTACAGAAATAGTTGTTGTTCTATGTAGAAAATTGCCCAAGATACGTGTGTTTGGCAGCTTGGTTGAGATGTACGTAACGTGCATAATACTCAGCCTTCCTACGTTCCACTGACAGGTTTGGTGAAGGGACACAGCGGTGCAACCATCGCCAGGGCCCCCGAGAACTCCCCCTTCACCCCACGTCCCTGTGTTGGTTGCCGTCACTCCGCTCCGTCCCAGCCCTAGGCAACCACGGATCTGATTTCTGTCCTCAGAGTTTTGCTTTTTCTAAAAATTTTGTAGAAATGGAACCCTAAAATATGTGGTCTTCTGTGTCTGGCTTCTTTCCCTCAGCGGGATGTTTTTGAGGTTTGTGTCGTAAGATAAGCATTTTGTCACCCTTGCATAGATCCGCTTACAAACTTCAGCTCTTCAGCCTTCCTACGTCCCACTGACGGGTTTGGTGAAGGGACACAGCGGTGCCACCATCGCCAGGGCCCCCGAGAACTCCCCCCCCTTCACCCCATGTCCCTGTGTCAGTTGCCGTCACTCCGCTCCGTCCCAGCCCTAGGCAACCACGGATCTGATTTCTGTCCTCAGAGTTTTGCTTTTTCTAAAAATTTTGTAGAAATGGAATCCTGAAATATGTGGTCTTCGGTGTCTGGCTTCTTTCCCTCAGCAGGATGTTTTTGAGGTTTGTGTTGTAAGATAAGCATTTTGTCACCCTTGCATAGATCCGCTTACAAACTTCAGGTCTTGCCCTGATCGGTGCTCAGTGGTTAGAGCATCAGCCCTCAGATCGAAGGGTCACAGGTTCGATTCCGGTCAAGGGCACGTTCCTCAGTTGCAGGCTCGATCCTCGGTCCCCGTTGGGGCGCAGTCGGGAAGCAAGCAATGGATGTATCTCTCTCACATCGATGTTTCTCTCTCTCCATCTCTCCCCCTCCCTTCCCCTCTCTCTAAAAATCAATGGAAAAAATATCCTCGGGTGAGGCTTTAACAAAACCTTCAACTGTTGTGTTTCACGTTCCGTTATCAAAAGATGTGCAAGGACGTTTTAAAAACAAGGTCTGTCTCTAATTCTGGAAACATATGTCTCCCTCCAGACTAGTTTGAGGCTTCCTGACGTAACTATTAGGAATGTGTTTGGGGTGCAAATCTCAGCAACCTAACTAGAGTGATTTAGTTTTTAAAAATTTCTTTTCTGTAGAGGCTCATTGTCCAGAAGCAGGTCCCTGGGTGCGTGGGAAGGTGGGAAATCAAGAAGAGGGTGATCATAACTGCTTGTCACCCACCAGCCGTGCCAGGGGGTCTGGTTCACTGCTACTCCCTACAGACCTGGGGTTCTCCAGGCAAAGGGGTGGGTGTTGGTTAGGTAACCCCTGGTGTCACCCCATTCATACAACTTGCTAGAGAACTGCCCAGTCACAGAGCCACTCAGAGGGTGACCCCAGCTGAGAGGAGCGAGCAGGCACCAGCCCGGACTGCTGTAAGACGACTAAGGTTTTAGCCAAAATAGGACTTGGAGGGCCCAGCCGGTGTGGCTCAGTGGTTGAGTGTCGGCCTATGAACCAGGAGGTCACGGTTTGATTCCCAGTCAGGGCACATGCCTGGGTTGCAGGCTCAATCCCCAGGAGGGGGCGTGCAGGAGGCAGCCAATCAATGATTCTCTCTCATCATTGATGTTTCTCCTTTCTCCCTTCCCCTGTGAAATCAGTAAAAATATATTAAAAAAAAAATAGGACTTGGAGGTAATGGGGGGAAGGGTGTAAAGCTTGACAGGGACACTGGAGTGGGTTGGGGGGAGGGTAAGCCGATCCCTTCGTCCTTTCTCTTCGAGGTGGGTGAGTGGCGGGCTCTGAGTCCCTCGAACCCGATGCCCTGCGTCTCCGTTCCAGGTGAACATGATGACCCTGGCGGAGCACATCATTGAGGCCACGCCTGAGCGCATCAAGCAGGAGAACTTCGTGCCCATGGAGGCCCCGGCCTTGGAGAGGACGGAGGCGGCCACCATCAGCAGCACCATGAGCTGGCTGGCCAGTTACCTGGCGGACGTGGACCACCTGCCGCATGCCGCCCAGCTCAGGTCCGACGGCGCGGGAGAAGTTCCTGGGTCTGAGGGCCTGGGAGGCGAGCCGGGTTTGAGGATGCCGGGTGGTTAGACCTCACGAAGCGAGGGAGGAAGCTGCCGACCGTCAGCCGATGAGTGTGTAAAGGCTGCGGTGCATCTACACCGCGGAACACTGTGCAGCTGTGGAAGGGGAGGGGCTCTCGCCCTGGGGGACAGCCTGGAGGGACCTGGAGAGCCTCATGCTAAGCTCAGTGCGCCAGTCAGAGAAAGACGCGTGTACACGGTCTCACGCATGTGGAATCTAACGAACAGAATAAATGAACAAAACAGATCCAGAGACAGATGCATGGGACAGACTGACAGATCCCAGAGGGGAGGGGTGATTAGAAGAGAAGAGATTAACAAAGGACTTACATGCAGATCCGAATAACCCATGGACACAGCTGAGAGTGCAGGGAAGGCCTGGGGGCGTGCAGGGGGGAAGGCAAATGGGGGAAAGAGAAGGGGCGTCTGTAATACTGTCAGCAATAAAGACCTTTTTTTTTAAGCGAGGAAGCCTTAGGGCTCCCGTCCTTGCCTCTTCCACAGTTTTTCTCCCCATCTCAGAGTCTGTGAGACAGCGAATCTTAAGGTTTCCCCCCAGAATCACTGGACTTCCATGGGCAGGGTGCTCGGTGGGTTTAGTGTTCAGCCTCGGGCTGAACGCATGGTGGGTGTCCCGTGTGAACTTGCTGACAGAAGAACAGTTAAAGTCGGGTGTGTTCAGCTCCGGAATGAAAGCACATTCCTAACAGCCCCCGTGGCTCCCGGCGGCTCCCATCTGTCTCACGTCAGCGTGTCGTGGGCCGTGCAGATGGATCACGCCTCCCCCGTGTCCCCTCTCGTTCCAGAAGCGCGTATAGCGAGCCTCTAACCCCCTCTTCCAACACCAGCCTGAGCCCCGGGGGCTCTCCAGCCAGCGACATGGCCTTCGAGAAGCCCAGCCTGCCCTCCGCGGCGGACTGGTCGGAGTTCCTGAGCGCGTCCACCAGCGAGAAGGTGGAGAATGAGTTCGCCCAGCTCACTCTGTCTGACCACGAACAGCGCGAGCTCTATGAAGCCGCCAGGCTCGTCCAGACCGCCTTCCGGAAATACAAGGTAAAGGGGATCGGAGTCCTGATGGTCCCTTCTTCAGGCCCGGGAGGTAGAGAAGGTCATGAGTGTTCCCGCTAACACACCGGCCATTTCTTATTTATTTACTTATTTATTTAATATATTGTTACTGATGTCAGAGAGGAAGTAAGAGGGTGAGAGAGATAGAAACATCAATGATGAAAGAGAATCATTGATTGGCTGCCTCCTGCACGCCCCCTACTGGGGATCGAGCCTGCAACCCAGGCATGTGCCCTTGACTGGAATCGAACCCGGGACCCCTCAGTCCACAGGCCGACGCTCTATCCACCGAGCCAAACCGACTAGGGCCACACGGGCCATTTCTTCCTTCCTTCTGAGTTTGTAGGATCTTTATTTGAATTACTAATTCATGTCACCTGGGATTATTAATAATTTTCAGAAGCTTTAGTGACATCAGTTTGACCAGTAGTGCGATGGTTGTCATCATCTCAATTTGTTGTGGGTCATGAAAACAGACACTTGCCATTTAGTTGATATGAAGGAAGTTGACGCCTCTGCCACAGGAATTTATGGCCTAAAGAGGGGGCTTCTAACTGGAGGCCTGGGACCTGGCCTCGGGCAGCCCAGGACCCCTAGAATGTTATGGCGAAGCATCTGGATGTGCAGTGTTGGTGGAGGCCTGGGGTCTCAGAGGACACAGTGGACCTCGGGCAGGTCCCGGGCACATGGCACCTTCCCTGACGGGTTACATACTCTGTGTATGAACATATTTTTAAAATAGGGTTTCACAGATGCTAGAGAGAGGGGAGGGGAGAGGGAGAGAAACATCTATCGGCTGCTTCCTGCACGCCCCCTACTTGGATGGAGCCCACAACCCAGGCATGTGCCCTGATGGGGAATCGAACCCGTGACCTCTTGGTGCATGGGACAACGCTCAACCAACTGAGCCACACCGGCCGGGCAAAAAGGAATATGTTTTTTAGGTCACCTAACACCCAGATATGATGGCTCTATTTAGAAGCAAGAATATTTGGAGATTAGTCTGTAAATCCATTTTTTGAAATGTGTACTTCTCATTATCACCGTATTTTGGTGAACACTGGGGGTCTCAGTTCTGATGAAGTTAATGAAATGGGCGATGCTTCTCTCGAAGCCACAGGCGGGCTCACATTTCTCATACTGAGTCACGGTTTACTTTTCCCCCCCGACTCCCTGCAGGGCCGACCCTTGCGAGAACAGCAGGAAGTGGCCGCTGCCGTCATCCAGCGCTGCTACAGGAAGTACAAACAGGTAACCACCTGCAGGGCCCCGGGGACTGCGCCCGAGGACACTCCTGGGGGGCTGCCGGGGGCGGCAGGCCAGCCCAGGACGAGGGCCGCCTCTGAGCTGCCTTGATTAAAAACAGGAGGAAAATGTTCCAGAGAGGGGGAAAAAGAGAAAAGGATAAAAAAAACATCCAGCGGCAACTAGACATAGGCCACAACATAACTTCTGTTCCAGTGTTTGGCCTTTGGTATTGGTCTGTGAGGGTCTGTGTTGCCATAACTTCACCCATAAGCCCCGCGGTGAGGAAAGGGCCTCACGGAGTTGACTGTGGTGGCTGGAGGTCAGTGCTGGCTGTTGTCCTTGACCTTGAACTAAGTTATGTCATCCTCAGCCAGTTTTCCTTGCAGCTGCTTCTTACGCATTTTATGGTGAAGAATCACAAACGTCGTTGAGAACCTTAACGTGCGTTTGCAGTGCTCAGTGAAGGGATGCGGGAAGGGCAGCCACGCGCTCTTGGCTGCCCTGTGACGGTTTCCAGGACAACCCGCAGTCACAGAGCTCCCGCCAGAGGGAAGGGGGGCTGACTCTCAAAGGGACCAGGTCTTCCAGGCACATCGTCTCACCCGCTCCTTACCATCATTTAAGGGAAACAACTGTATTTCCGTCTTCCAGCCAAAGAAGCTGAGGTTCAGAGAAATTAAATATTAGATCTTTGTAACCACCCCGAGGAGGTTAGAAAATAGAAGACGTTGCCTGATGGAGCTTTGAGTGGTTCATGTGCTAAAGTTCAGTCCTGTCGGTAGATTCTGGAACCTTCTATCGGGTTGTGCTTTTCGTGGGTTTTAAATGTGTATTGGGGGCCTGCTCAATGCCAAGGTGTATAATCGCACGTAGAAATTTGGGATGATGTTCCCTCGATACGATCCAGGGCTTTGGTGTCCGATGTGGGTTGCCTTTTATCAGGTTTCTCTGGGATTACGCTCTGTTCCTGCGTGGGGTGGGGGAGGGGGCCTCTTCAGCTTTAGCCAGTTGAGTTCATGATCCCAGAAAATGAAGGTTTATTGTGTAAACGCTGACACCGCAGTTCCCGCAGCCCGGAGGCAGGGGGCGCTGCTCTGCGCACGGGCTTCTCTCGGTGGGCGGGCTTCTTCGCACAAGCGATAGACACCCAGAATCAGAGCTTCAAGTCTGTGACGACAACAGGGATCTATTCCCAAATCTGAGTTTGGTAGTTTGGTATTCTGAGTGGGTTTTTTTTTTAAATCCCATCCCAAAGACGTGTCATCTACAGCCAGCAGGACAGAAGGCATCCTTTATTGCAATACTGCCCCATAGGAGGCAAGTCTTTTGGAAGGCGGAGGCCTGGATCCAGCCAGCGCGCCCTTCTGCTGGTGGTGGCGGTGGTGGGAGTGTCATTGGTTCTGGCTTTTCAGCTTCCTTCCGTCGAGCGATCTAACGTTAATCTTGTATTCTCTGTTTCTCCCCCAAAGCTGACATGGATAGTCTTGAAGGTAATGCCACACCCAGTCCTCTCACAAACCATTCCACCAGAGTCACAAACTCCACTCCCATCACCAGCGACACGAAGGGGCCATTCCGATGGCAGGGTCATGAGTAAAAAAAAACAGGGCGTCTGTCCTCCGGGGGCCTCATGCTTATTCAGCAGCCATAACTGGACACTGTTTGGGCTGATGTCCATCTGAAGAGCCCATCCCAGCCAGTGACGTGAGCCCCGTGAGCCACAAAGTAAACTGCCCGTTCTCCCAGGGCACGCCGCCAGGAAGCCCCCGAGGCGCTGTGGGACCCGGCGTCCTTGTCTTAAAAGACTCCTGGACGGCCAAACCGGTTTGGCTCAGTGGATAGAGCGTCGGCCTGCGGACTGAGGGGTCCCAGGTTCGATTCCGGTCAAGGGCATGTGCCTTGGTTGTAGGCACATCCCCAGTGGGGAGTGTGCAGGCGGCAGCTGGTCGATGTTTCTCTCTCATTGATGTTTCTAACTCTCTATCCCTCTCCCTTCCTCTCTGTAAAAAATCAATAAAACATATTTAAAAAAACAACAACAAAAAAAAACTCCTGGATGAATGGGAGTGTGAATCAGGTGGGGTTAGGCGAGAAGGTCCCTGCAGAAGGGCCCTGTGTCCTGCACAGCCCGGGAGGCCCCTTCCCTCCCTCATTCCACCGCATACATGCAGACACACTAGGCGCAGGGATGTCCTGCGAGCGTTTCCCTCCGATGGTAAGTTGCCCTCTTGCAAGCCGAGCGCTTCCTCGTCCCCCCACCCCCCAGTCGTATTCTGTTTCCTGAGCAACGTGGACGTAGATTCTTACGGACGGAGAGCTCTGAGTCTGTAGCGCCCGGAGACGGAGAGAGACGGGGCTCCTGCTCCCGTGCCTTCCTCCCTCCCTGAGCCCAGCCGCCAGCGCCCGAGCCGGCCCGGTTGGCCCGGTGACAACGGCTCTCCGGGCCTCGCGGCTTTGCCTGGCGTTGGCCCTCTGAGTGCTCATCTCCCGCAGGTTAAAGTGGCTCGAAGGTGTCAGCGTTTCATGATAAGCCTTGTGTTTGGGACCTTGTAACTCGGGAGTTTGCTGATGGGCTGATAGTGAGGGGGGAGTGGGGGGCATAACGGCGGGTAGTTAAAAAGGTTCCAAGAGTGGGGAGCAAGTACTCATCTTAAACACTTAACATTTACTTCCATGTGTGTTTCTAAGATTCCTAAGTGTCTAAGTGGATTGCTATTGAGAATTCTTTTTTTCTGCCCGGCCGGTGTGGCTCAGTAGTGAAGTGTCGACCTATGGACCAGGAGGTCAGGGTTCAATTCCCAGTCAGGGCACATGCCCAGGTTGCAGGCTCAACCCCCAGTGTGGGGCGTGCAGGAGGCAGCGCTCAATGATTCTCTCTCATCATTGATGTTTCTGTCTCTCTCCCTCTCCCTTCCTCTCTAAAATCAATTTTAGAAAAATCTTTTAAAAACTTTTTTCAAGAAGGGCAATATATTTGGGGGTTTGGGGGGAACAAAGCACCTTAAAAAATAATACATCGTCGGGAGGTCACCCTTAGGTAATGTTTTTCGTTCTGGAAAGGTAGGTGGAGAGAGGCCTGGTGGGCCTGTTTGGCAGTTAAGCCGGAAACGGAGAACATGGCGAGGGGAGAGTGACTTCTCGCCGAGAGCCGAGCACAGCCCCGCGCACTCACTCCCGTGGTCACGCTCTGCCTCTGTCTCCGCAGTACGCGCTGTACAAGAAGATGACCCAGGCCGCCATCCTGATCCAGAGCAAGTTCCGCAGCTACTACGAGCAGAAGAAGTTCCAGCAGAGCCGGCGCGCGGCCGTGCTCATCCAGAAGTTCTACCGCAGCTACCGGAGGTGCGGCCAGCGGCGGCCAGGTGGGCGCAGGTCAGGTGGGCAGAGGCTCAGGTGGGCGCAGGTCAGGTGGGCAGAGGCTCAGGTGGGCGCAGGTCAGGTGGGCAGAGGCTCAGGTGGGCGCAGGTCAGGTGGGCAGAGGCTCAGGTGGGCGCAGGTCAGGTGGGCAGAGGCTCAGGTGGGCGCAGGTCAGGTGGGCAGAGGCTCAGGTGGGCGCAGGTCAGGTGGGCAGAGGCTCAGGTGGGCGCAGGTCAGGTGGGCAGAGGCTCAGGTGGGCGCAGGTCAGGTGGGCAGAGGCTCAGGTGGGCGCAGGTCAGGTGGGCAGAGGCTCAGGTGGGCGCAGGTCAGGTGGGCAGAGGCTCAGGTGGGCGCAGGTCAGGTGGGCAGAGGCTCAGGTGGGCGCAGGTCAGGTGGGCAGAGGCTCAGGTGGGCGCAGGTCAGGTGGGCAGAGGCTCAGGTGGGCGCAGGTCAGGTGGGCAGAGGCTCAGGTGGGCGCAGGTCAGGTGGGCAGAGGCTCAGGTGGGCGCAGGTCAGGTGGGCAGAGGCTCAGGTGGGCGCAGGTCAGGTGGGCAGAGGCTCAGGTGGGCGCAGGTCAGGTGGGCAGAGGCTCAGGTGGGCGCAGGTCAGGTGGGCAGAGGCTCAGGTGGGCGCAGGTCAGGTGGGCAGAGGCTCAGGTGGGCGCAGGTCAGGTGGGCAGAGGCTCAGGTGGGCGCAGGTCAGGTGGGCAGAGGCTCAGGTGGGCGCAGGTCAGGTGGGCAGAGGCTCAGGTGGGCGCAGGTCAGGTGGGCGCAGGCTCAGGTGGGCGCAGGTCAGGTGGGCAGAAGCTCAGGTGGGCGCAGGTCAGGTGGGCAGAAGCTCAGGTGGGCGCAGGTCAGGTGGGCAGAAGCTCAGGTGGGCGCAGGTCAGGTGGGCAGAAGCTCAGGTGGGCGCAGGTCAGGTGGGCAGAAGCTCAGGTGGGCGCAGGTCAGGTGGGCAGAAGCTCAGGTGGGCGCAGGTCAGGTGGGCAGAAGCTCAGGTGGGCGCAGGTCAGGTGGGCACAGGTCAGGTGGGCGCAGGCTCAGGTGGGTGCAGGCTCAGGTGCACACAGCCCGCGGAGGGAGGGGCCCTGCCCTGGGCCTGTGGCAGTGGGGGTGTAGGGGGGGGCTTGTGCAGTGATTTTCTTTCCAGATCCCAGGCTTCGCAGGTGAGGCCTCTGTCGTCACCTCTTGGTCTGTTTGGCTTATTTTGTCCTCGCCTCCCACCCATTTATTTGTCGTCTCCACCGCATTTCCACTTGTATCAGGATTTGGCAGGAGCCAAGTTTCCACTGGAAACGGTGGCCGCTGTGATGCGCTGTCACCACCTGGAAGGCCGGGGAGGAGTGGAGAGAAGCTCTTGCTGAGAGCGTGTGTGAGGACAGGGAGACACGCTGACTGAAGTTTAGAAAGTAGTAGCCCAGAGGGAGTGCTGAAGGCAGGCAGGGCAGCTTCTAGACCAGTGATGGCGAACCTTTTGAGCTCGGCGTGTCAGCATTTTGAAAAACCCTAACTTAACTCTGGTGCCGTGTCACATATAGAAATTTTTTGATATTTGCAACCATAGTAAAACAAAGACATATATTTTTGATATTTATTTTATATATTTAAATGCCATTTAACAAAGAAAAATCAACCAAAACAATGAGTTCGCGTGTCACCTCTGACACGCGTGTCATAGGTTCGCCATCACTGTCCTAGACGGAGGAGCCTGGGACGCCTTTCTCAGCAAAGCGAGCACCTGGCAGAGTCGGGGGGACAGTTCTGACATCAATTGTCAGTGTCACGTTGGCTCCCGGCAAGCTGGGGGTGCTCCCCCACCCCTCCCACC